CTGGGATACCAATCCCTCCGGATTCCGGGGTTACAAACCCCCCGGATCCCGGGATACCAATCCCTCCGGATTCAGGGATACCAATCCCTCCGGATACAGGGATACCAATCCCTCCGGATCCCGGGATACCAATCCCTCCGGATACAGGGATACCAATCCCTCCGGATCCCGGGATACCAATCCCTCCGGATACAGGGATACCAATCACTCCGGATACAGGGATACCAATCCCACCCTGTGCTCCCGGCTGTGCCTTCAGAGGCAGAACACACCCGGGACCCTGCTGGGGGTTAGAAAGAGAGAAAAACCCGAATTGTTTGGGTCCCGGGGCGGCCGAGCCGTGTCTGGGGACATCCTGGGACAGCCGGAGGTGCCGGGGGGCTCCGCAGGAGGATTTTGGGGTCACGGAGAGGCTCAGGCGGCCGCTCCAAGGCAGTGCAGACACAGCCCTGTCCCGGGAACAGGGCTGGAGAGGTGACAAACAGGACCCTGAGGTGACAAATAAATCCCTGAGGTGGCAAATAAATCCCTGAGGTGGCAAATAAATCCCTGAGGTGGCACACAGGACCCTGAGGTGGCACACAGGTCCTTTTGATGGCACACAGGACCATGAGGTGACAAACAGGTTCCCGAGGTGGCACACAGGACCCTGAGGTAGCACACAGGACCCTGAGGTGGCAAATAAATCCCTGAGGTGACAAACAGGACCCTGAGGTGGCACTCAGGACCCTGAGGTGGCACACAGGTCCCTGAGGTGACAAACAGGTCCCCGAGGTGACAAACAGGTCCCCGAGGTGGCACACAGGAACTTGAGGTGACAAACAGGTCCCCGAGGTGGCAGACAGGACCCTGAGGTGGCACACAGGACCCTGGCAAACCACAGCCCCTGGGCGCTGTCCCCGCCCTGCCTGGGGTGACACGGGGGTGGCACCAGCGCCATCGGCGGGGCCGGGCCGTGCCCGCTGCTCTGGCCGCGTTTCTGGGTCAGGCTATTTTTACAGCCCGGGAAAAGCGAATTTCCGAGGGCAGCCGATGTCACCGTGTCACCCGCGGGGACGGGACAAGGGCAGCTCCGGCTGCCGCGCGGCTCCGCGGTTGCCATAGCGATTCCTGCGCTTTTCCCGGATTTCGGGGCGTCCCTCGGGATGCAGGGGAGCCCCGAGCCTGCTCCCCCCGGCTCCCGCTCATCCTGGGGGCAGCAGGATGGGCTGGGGGGAGGATTCAGAGCCGGTTTGGGAATTTGGGATGACGAATCCCACAGATTTGAGATCGCTGCGTTTCAAACCCCTGGAGGCAGCAGGATGGGCTGGGGGGAGGAATTTCAGAGCCGGTTTGGGAATTTGGGATGGCGAATCGCACGGATTTGAGATCGCTGCTGCGATGGATTGGAATCGCGGGGGATTTGTGTCGCTGCGGGTGCCTGAGGGAGGAGGATTAGTGACCCTAATCCCCCCGCGGGGGTTGGGAAGGGCGCGGGATGTTGGTGGACACCGGGGCTGCCGCTCCGTGTCCCTGCAGAGGTGGCACCGAGGGGACTTTGTCCCCGTTCCCAGGAGCATTGCCTGGGACCGGGGGTGCCGTGGTTGGAGAGGAACCCCAAAATCATCCGCTGATCAAATCCTCCCGTGCCCCTTAAACCAAATCAGGGTGACACCTTCAGTCACTTCCAGAACCTTCCAGTCACTTCCAGAACCCCTCAGTCACTTCCAGAACCTTCCAGTCACTTCCAGAACCCCTCAGTCACTTCCAGAACCTTCCAGTCACTTCCAGAACCCCTCAGTCACTTCCAGAACCTTCCAGTCACTTCCAGAACCCCTCAGTCACTTCCAGAACCTTCCAGTCACTTCTAAAACCCTTCAGTCACTTCCAGAACCTTCCAATCGCTTCCAGAACCCTTCAGTCGCTTCTAAAACAGTTTGGTCACTTCCAAGACTTTTCAGTCACTTCCAAAACCTTCCAGTAACTTTTAAAACTCTTCAGTCCCTTCCAGAACCTTCCAGTCCCTTTAAAAACCCTTCAGTCACTTCCAGAATCTTCCAGTCATTTCTAAAACCCTCTAATCACTTCCAGAACCATTCAGTCACTTCCAGAACCTTCCAGTCCCTTCTAAAACCCTTCAGTCACTTCCCAAACCCTCCAATCACTTCCAGAACCCTTCAGTCGCTTTTTGAAGCCTCCCAAGGTCAGTGACTCCATCCGCTCCCTGTTCCAGTGCCAGTTCTCTCTTCCAGACCTGAAATTTCCCCCAGGATCCACCGTGAGCCTCCTCCCGTGTTTGTGGGGTCACGGTGGATATCGGGGAAAATCTCCTCTTCCCTCCCGGAATTCCCAAAGGCCGATGTCTCCTCATGGGAAAGGGGCTGTAGCCGGGATTATCCAGGGGGTTTTGGGTTATCCAGGGGGTTTGGGATTATCCAGGGGGTTTTGGGTTATCCAGGGGGTTTGGGATTATCCAGGGGGTTTTGGGGTTATCCAGGAGCTTTTGGACCTGGCAGTGGATTCCCGGACCTGAGATGGGAGATGGAAATAATTGTGGAGGACAGAATCCCAAATCCCTGTGCTCCCTGCGTTTTCCCACCCAGCACAAACCTGAGACTGTGCCAGGTGTCCCCTCCTGCCGAGCGGGATATCCCCTCTCTGTTCCCTCCTGCCGAGCGGGATGTCCCCTCTCTGTTCCCTCTCTGTCCCGTCTCTTTCCCCGCTCTGTCCCTGCTCTGTCCCCGCTCCGTCCCGCTGTCCCCTCTCTGTCCCGCTGTCCCCTCTCTGTCCCGCTGTCCCCTCTCTGTCCCGCTGTCCCCGCTCTGTCCCCTCTCTGTCCCGCTGTCCCCGCTCTGTCCCCGCTCTGTCCCGCTGTCCCCTCCTGCCCAGCGCGCTGTCCCTGACGCTGTCCCTGTCTGTGGCGGCCGTTCCCGCAGGAGCAGCAGGCGCTGGTGTTCCAGATGATGCAGCAGATCCAGCAGAAGCGGGAGCTGCAGCGGCTGCAGATGTCGGGCTCGTCCCAGCTGTCCCTCCTGGCCGCCACCTCGGCCCCGCTGCACTCCAGCCCCGGCGCGCTGCTGACCTCGGCCGCTCCCAGCGGCGGTTCCCTGCTGGCCTCGCTGTCCCCGCAGCAGCTGAACCCCGGCGGGGCCCTGCTGGCCCCCCAGGCCACCCCCCCGCTGGCCCCGGGCCCGGCCATCGCCCCCGTGCTGGCCCAGCCCAACCCCTTCCTCAGCCTGCAGCCCGACGGCGGCACCCCCAAGGGAACGGTGGGTACGGGGCTGGCGCTGCCCGGGAGGGGACAGCGGGGGACAGGGTGGGGACAGGGTGGGGACAGTGTCGGGACACGGTGGGGACAGGGTGGGGACAGTGCAGGACAGGCTGGGACAGTGTGGGACAGAGTGGGGACAATGTGGGGCAGAGTGGGGACAATGTGGGGTCAGCGTGGGGACAGTGTGGAGACAGTGTGACACAGGATGCTGACAGGATGGAGACAGTGTGGGACAGGGTGGGGACAGGATGGGGACAGTGTGAGGACAGGCTGTGACAGCGTGGGGACAGTGTGGGGACAGTGTGGGACAGTGTGGGACAGTGTGGGACAGGATGGGGACAGTGTGGGGACAGTGTGGGACAGTGTGAGGAGAGCCTGGGGCAGAGGGAGCCCCGGGGCTCTGGATCTTGGCCGGCTCTGAGGTGCAGCCCAGCAGAGCCCTCTGCTCTCCCCCCACGCTTCGGATTCCTGCTCCCCCAGTTCCTGCCTCCCCCAAATCCTGTCCTCCCAAAATTCCTGGGCATTCCCTGATCCCTGTGCTCCCTGATCCCTGTGCTCCCTGATCCCTGTGTTCCCTGATCCCTACGTTCCCTGATCCCTGTGTTCCCTGATCCCTGCCTGCCCTGATCCCTGCCTGCCCTGATCCCTGTGCTCCCTGATCCCTGTGTTCCCTGATCCCTACGTTCCATGATCCCTACGTTCCCTGATCCCTACGTTCCCTGATCCCTGTGTTCCCTGATCCCTGTGTTCCCTGATCCGTGTGTTCCCTGATCCCTGTGTTCCCTGATCCCTGCCTGCCCTGATCCCTGTGTTCCCTGATCCCTACATTCCCTGATCCCTACATTCCCTGATCCCTGCCTGCCCTGATCCCTGTGTTCCCTGATCCCTGCCTGCCCTGATCCCTGTGTTCCCTGATCCCTGTGTTCCCTGATCCCTGCGTTCCCTGATCCCTACATTCCCTGATCCCTGCATTCTCTGATCCCTGCATTCTCTGATCCCTGCCTGCCCTGATCCCTGTGTTCCCTGATCCCTGTGTTCCCTGATCCCTGCCTGCCCTGATCCCTGTGTTCCCTGATCCCTACATTCCCTGATCCCTACATTCCCTGATCCCTGCCTGCCCTGATCCCTGCATTCCCTGATCCCTGCATTCCCCTCCCAATTCCTGCCTTCCCCAATTCCTGCATCCTGTAATCCTTGTCTCGTCTGATCCCCATCCCCCAATCCCCATCCCCCAATCCCTGTTCCCCGTCCCCGCAGTCCGTGTCCCCTCTGATCCGTGTCCCCGTTTGTCCCCGCAGCCCCTGGGTGACAAGGGCACTCCCCTGGCGCAGGACAAGGGCTAGGAGCCCCCCCGAGCCCGCGGCCAACTCCTGTCCCGGGGATCGCGGCTTCCCCGCGGCCACCGCGGCGCCGGCGGAGCCCGGAGCTCCCGAGGAGCGTCCCAGGAGGAGCTTCGGGAGCCACAGCGGCTGTGGCCGAGCCCTGGTGCCACCAGGAGCGCAGGTGGGGGTCACCTGTCCCCCGCTCCACGTGCCAGAGGGAATTCCAGCAGATCCTGCCGGCCTCATCCCTGCCGGGAGCGTGGGGAGCCCCCGAGGCACCGGAGATCCCCCAGATCCTTGGGGAAGGATGTGGTGGCACCTGGAAGTGTCCCAGGATGTGACCCTGGATGTGGCATTGCTGGAGAAGGGACATGGTGGCACCTGGCAGTGTTCCAAGGGCCAGCACTGGATGTGTCACCGCTGGGCAAGGACGTGGTGGCACCTGGGAGTGCCAAGGATGTGACCTTGGATGTGGCACTGCTGGAGAAGGGATGTGGTGGCACCCGGCTCTTCCCAAGGATGTGACCCTGGATGTGGCACCGCTGGGCAAGGACGTGGTGGCACCTGGCAGTGTCCCAAGAGCCAGCACTGGATGTGGCACTGCCGGAGAAGGACGTGGTGGCACCTGGCTGTTCCCAAAGATGTGACCCTGGATGTGGCACTGCCAGGGAAGGACGTGGTGACAGCTGGCAGTGTCCCAGGATGTGACCCTGGATGTGGCACCGCTGGGGAAGGGACATGGTGGCACCTGGCAGTGCCCAAGGATGTGACCCTGGATGTGGCACTTCTGGAGGAGGACGTGGTGGCCCTGGAGGAGGACATGGTGGCCCTGGAGGAGGACATGGTGGCCCTGCCCAGGTGGGGACTTCCAGAAGAATTCCCAAGCTGAGATTTCCCCGCTTTTCCTACTGGGATTTGCTCCAACTGGAGGCCGATCCAGCCTGGAAGGACACGACGGATGAGGATGGACCGAGGTGGGCAGGAGGTGGCACCAGCTGCGAGGACATTGTCACCGGTGTCACCTGCGAGGACGTTGTCACCAGTGCCAGCTGTTGTCCTTCCCTCCTGGAATGCACATTCCTGCTCCGTGTCGCCCCTTCCATCCCGGAATTCCCAAAGGCCGATGTCTCGGCCAGGATTATCCAGGGGCAGAAGGAGCTTTTGGACCTGGGAGTGGATTCAGGACCTGAGTTGGGAGATGGAAATGTTTGTGGGGAGGAGAATCCCAAATCCGCTCCCGGAGTTTTCCCGCTCACCACAAATCATTCCCACAAAACCACGTTCTTCCACTCGTCCTGGGAAAAGGGATCTCCAAGGAATCTGTGGACAGTGACCACAGTCCTGAGCCTGGGATGCCAGAAATTCCATCGTTCTCCACCTTTTGATCCTGATTTCATCTTCAGCCTGGAATATCCACCGGGAATTGGCTTCATCTGATCTGGGATGGATGGATGGATGGATGATGGATGGGTGGATGGATGATGGATGGATGATGGATGATGGATGATGGATGATGGATGATGGATGATGGATGATGGATGATGGATGATGGATGATGGATGATGGATGATGGATGATGGATGATGGATGATGGATGATGGATGATGGATGATGGATGATGGATGATGGATGATGGATGATGGATGATGGATGATGGATGATGGATGATGGATGATGGATGATGGATGATGGATGATGGATGATGGATGATGGATGATGGATGATGGATGATGGATGATGGATGATGGATGATGGATGATGGATGATGGATGATGGATGATGGATGATGGATGATGGATGATGGATGATGGATGATGGATGATGGATGATGGATGATGGATGATGGATGATGGATGATGGATGATGGATGATGGATGATGGATGATGGATGATGGATGATGGATGATGGATGATGGATGATGGATGATGGATGATGGATGATGGATGATGGATGATGGATGGATGATGGATGGATGGGTGGATGGATGGAATCCATGGAGGATGGATGGATTCATGGATGGATTCATGGATCAATGGATGGATTGATGGATCCATGGATGGATTGATGGATTCATGGATTGATGGATCCGTGGATTGATGGATGGAGGGATTCATGGACAGCTCCATGGATGAAGATCATGGATGGATGGATGGGAGGACGGCAGGAAGGACAGAGAGAAGGAAGGACAGACAGAGAGTCAGGGCAGCTCCAACACCAAACACACCCCTGCCCCTCCTTCCCTCATCCCTGGGTAAATCCGGAGCTCCTGGGAATGCTCCAGCTGATGGAAACTCCTTTGGGAGAGCCCCAAATCCGGAATTTTGGGCCCCTCGTTCAGCACATCCCCACTGCCCTTCCTGCTTTGCACTATTCCCGTTCTCAGCAGTGGGGCCGCGCTGATCGTGCTGGCAAAGCTGAATTTCCCTTTTTTTAATTTTGATTTGATTTGATTTGATTTGATTTGATTTGATTTGATTTGATTTGATTTGATTTCATCGGGGTTTTATTTTTTCCCCAAGATTCGCACCACCAGGGTTGTCCAAAAAAAGGGAAAAAAATAGGAAAAAATAAAAAAAAAAAAGAAAAAAAAGAGGAAATGAAAAAAACCCCAAACTCTTTCTGCTCCCAGCCTGGAGCTCTGAACTGGGCAGAGCCGCTGGCTGCTCAGAAATAGAAATATATATAAAATATATAACGGGATTTATCTATGGAGAGGTTTTAACGAGCTGAGGAAGCTGTTGGGGATCCCCATCCTTCGGGATCCCCGTCCCCAAACCCCGCTCCGGCACAATTCCCTTCTTGCACTTTGAAATTCCTTTGGATTTTTCTCTTCTTTTCCCCCTGCCCCGAGTTGGGTCGTTCCCCCCTCCCTTGGCACTTTCGGAGGTGTCACCCAAAATCCCCCTGGAGTGGGGACACCCCGATGTGGGGACACCCCGATGTGGGGACACCCTGGTGTGGGGACACCCCAATGTGGGGACACCCTGGAGTGGGGACACCCCGATGTGGGGACACCCTGGAGTGGGGACACCCCAATGTGGGGACACCCCGATGTGGGGACACCCTGGTGTGGGGACACCCCAATGTGGGGACACCCCGATGTGGGGACACCCCTGGCACGGGGACCCCCCAGGTCCCCCCCGCCCCCCTCCTTGGGCTCGGCAGTGACTGTGAGAGCGAATCCAGTCCCGAATTTGGGATAATTTTGGGATTTTGGGGCTGTCCCCGTTCTGGTGCAGCCGCCGTCCTGCAGATCCTCGGGATTTGGGAACAGCCGGATTCCAGCTCTGGGCCAGCAGGGGGATGGGCAGGGGGGGTCTGGCTCTGCCGGCTGGGGGTGGCCAGGACTTGGGGTTTATTTTTACTTTATTTTATTTTATTTTATTTTATTTCTCACTTTTTGTCGCAAATTCCAAATCCTTGTGTTGCTTTTGGGATCCCAAATCCCTGCAGTGCTTTTGGGATCCCAAATCCCTGCAGTTCTCTGGGATCCCAAATCTCTGTGTTGCTTTTGGGATCCCAAATCTCTGCAGTGCTGCCCACGGCCTCCAGCCCCATTTGCAACCCCAAAGACCCCAAAGTTGTGCCCAAATGCCCCAATTCTTCCAAAATCCAGCCCCAGGGGATCCGGAAGGTGCGAGGAGCAGGGAGAGGGGGCTGGGAAGGCTGGGAATGCTGCCTGGGATCCATCCCAGGGAATTGATCCCCCGGGACACCCAAAATCCCTGTTGGGATCGCCCCCGCTTTGGGGTCGGGGCCCAAATCCCTGGAGAAGCCCCGGACACACGGAGGGGTCAGGGAGCAGCACTTAGGGGTGAATCCAGAGGCTGGGAATGCTGGAATTGGCTCCTGCGGGAATGTTTGGGAGCCGAGGCTTTGGAAGAAGAAGGAAATCCGGGATCTCTCCTGGAATTCCCAGAGCTGGATCCCTCTGGCTCTGTGGGAATTCCCAGAGCTGGATCCCTCTGGTTCTTTGGGAATTCCCAGAGCTGGATCCCTCTGGTTCTTTGGGAATTCCCAGAGCTGGATCCCTCTGGTTCTTTGGGAATTCCCAGAGCTGGATCCCTCTGGTTTTCCGGGAATTCCCAGAGCTGGATCCCTCTGGTTCTTTGGGAATTCCCAGAGCTGGATCCCTCTGGCTCTGTGGGAATTCCCAGAGCTGGATCCCTCTGGTTCTTTGGGAATTCCCAGAGCTGGATCCCTCTGGTTCTTTGGGAATTCCCAGAGCTGGATCCCTCTGGTTCTTTGGGAATTCCCAGAGCTGGATCCCTCTGGCTCTGTGGGAATTCCCAGAGCTGGATCCCTCTGGTTTTCCGGGAATTCCCAGAGCTGGATCCCTCCGGGAATTCCAGGATGAGGAGCTCAGAGACAGAAAGCACTTACACCTCTCCCTGCATCCAACCTCCCAAAAGCTCCCAAATCCCGGGAATCTCCACCTCCAGCCATCCCAAATCTCCCTTTGGCAGAGCTGGAAGGCTCCAGGTGAATCCCTGTGGATTTAAAAAATCCCGGGAGAGCCGGGGGAAGGAAAAGGAAAAGGAAAAGCTAAAGATGATCCGCGTTTCAGTTGCACTGGGGTACTTTTCTTTACCCGTTTAGGATCGTTGCATGTGTCCTTTTAATTTTATTTTTAATTAATTTCATCCGTTTTTAGGGTTGGTTTTTTTGCTTTTTGTTTTTAAATATGAAATGAAAGAGAAAAATGTGTCTATTTTTGGCAATTTAAGGTAACGTAGCTAAGATATATTTTTTTCACGCTGCTTGACCGGTCTTTATTATAATAAATGATATTAATATGAATCTCGAGGAGGTTTTTAATAAAGATAAAAATTTAAAGGGGAATGGGAATTCCCTGCCTTTGGAATCCCAAGCCAGGGATGGTCCCAGGATGCAGAAGCGAGGCTCTGGAGGAGGGAATGAGTGGGGAAAGGAGGGGTTTTCCCAAAAAAAAACCCCAATTATGGCCCCCTTTAAATCCCAAAAATTCCTGCTGCGCTTGTGAGCAGCTCCTGAATCTTCTCTTTTCCAAGGATTTGTTCCTTGGAAACCTCAACGGGCTCGTGCTGCCCCTGCTTTGGCCCCTTTCCTGCCCAAAATTTGGTCTGGAGCTGAGTCCAGCTGGTGGAAAAGCCGCTCCCACGCCAAGATTCTGAGAATTCCCACTGGAAAAGTCGCTCCCAGGCCGGGATTCTGGGAATTCCCACTGGAAAAGCCGCTCCCAGGCCGGGATTCTGGGAATTCCCACTGGAAAAGTCGCTCCCAGGCCGGGATTCTGGGAATTCCCACTGGAAAAGCCGCTCCCAGGCCGGGATTCTGGGAATTCCCGCAGCGCCTTGGCAGCAGCAGGGCCGAGGCTCCAGGGGGGAAACTGAGGCACGGGTGGGGGAGGTGGGCACCGGGAGCATGTAACAGGATCCGGGAGCGCCACCGGGATTGGGCACCGGAACCGGGATTGGGCACCGGAACAGGGATTGGGCACCGGGACCGGGATGGGGCACCGGGATCGGGATCGCACTCTGGGAACACGTAACAGGATCCGGGAGTGACACCGGGATGGGACCGGGCACCGGGACCGGGTGTTGGGATTGGGCATCGTGACTGGGAGCGGGAACCGGGACCGGCACTGGGAACCGGTACTGGGAACCGGGATTGGTACTGGGAACCGGGATCAGCCCTGGGAACCGGCACTGGAACCGGGATCAGCTCTGGGAACCGGGATCGGTACTGGGATCCAGAACTGAGATCGAGCAGCGGGACCGGCCCTGGGAGCGGGTAACGGGAGGGGGTGACGGCGGCGGCAGCGGCACCGAGCACCAGGAACCGGGAGCGGCACCGAGCACCAGGAACCGGGAGCGGCACCGAGCCCCGGTACCAGGAGCCGGGCCCGGTGCGCGGGGGAACCTCCCCGCACGGAGCACCCGCGCTCCACCGAGCCGCCCGCCCCGGCTCTTCCGGCGGCGCCGGGAGGAGGAGCCGCGCCGGGAAGGTCACCGGGACCGACCCCGGGAGCGGAACAGGGAGCGGAACCGGGAGCGGCACCGGGACCGACCCCGGGAGCGGTACCGGGAACCGGGAGAGGTACCGGGAGCGGTACCGGGACCATGCTGCGGCCCAGAGCGGCCGCGCTCGCAGCGCTGATGAGAACCCCGGGGGGCGGCCGGGACCCCTCGGGGGGAGCTCCGGTCCCGTCGCTCTGCTCCGCGCCGCCCCCGCAGCCGGTGATCGCCGCCAAGGAACCGTTCCCGGTGGAGCTGAAGGCGGGGCAGAACTACAGCTGGTGCTCCTGCGGGCACAGCAAGCGCCAGGTCCGGCCGGGGGGGCCGGGAGAGCCGGGGGGGTCCGGGAGAACCGGGGGGGTTCGGGAGAACCGGGGGGGTTCGGGAGAACCGGGGGTCCGGGAGAACCGGGGAGGTTCGGGAGAACCGGGAGGGTCTGGGAGAACCGGGGGGGTCCGAGAGAACCGCGGGGTGTCCCGGAGAACCGGGGATCCGGGAGAACCGGGAGGGTCCGGGAGGACTGGGGGGGTTCGGGAGAACCGGGGGGGTCCAGAGAACCGGGGGGTCCGGGAGAACTCGGGGGGTTCCGGAATCCCGGCAGCTCCCGGGGGTTCCTGGCTCGGGGACCCCACCGGGGGAGGTCCGGAGGGTCCCGGGGGAGCCGCCACCCCCAGCTCGGGATGTCGCGGGTTCCGATGGGCTCAGGGCAGCACCAGCCCCACAGGAACCCCCCGAGCTTTTGGGGGCGCTTTTGGCGCTCCACCCTCGCAATTCCCACGGGATGCGCTGCCCAGGGACGGGACCGGGGGGACAACCGGGCACCCCCGAGCCCCTCCTCGAGCCGGTGGCCGGTTCTCTGCAGCCCTTTTGTGACGGTGCCCACAAGAAGGAGGCGCCGGGGCTGGCCCCGCTGCGCTTCACCCCGGCCCGGGACGGCCCCGCGCTGCTCTGCGGCTGCAAACGGAGCCGGAGCCCCCCGTACTGCGATGGATCCCACAAAGGGGACGCGGTTCGGGGGGCACAGCCGAGCTCGGGGCTCCCCCCTCGGGAGAGGAGAGGCTCCGAACCACAGTGAAATCCCAATTGCGCCGTGGGGCAGGGATCGGATTCCAGCCCCCCAAATCGGGATCTGGGAAGTGGGGGGGGTCCCTGGGGTGGGGTTTGGGGTGGAGGGACCTGGGGGATGCAGGACAAAGGAACCCACAGGATTTGGGATGGAGGGACCGGAGAGGTTTGGGGTGGAGGGACCTGTGGGGTTTGTGGTGGAGGGACCTGGGGGATGCAGGACACAGGAACCCAAAGGATTTGGGGTGGAGGGACCGGAGAGGTTTGGGATGGAAGGACCTGTGGGATTTGGGATGGAGGGATCTGAGAGGTTTGGGGTGGAGGGACCGGGGAGGTTTGGGATGGAGGGTTCTGTGGGGTGCAGGACACAGGAACCCACAGGATTAGGGATGGAGGGGCCAGAGAGGTTTGGGATGGAGGGACCTGTGGGGTTTGGGGTGGAGGGACCTGGGGGATGCAGGACACAGGAACACACAGGATTTGGGATGGAGGGACCCATGCAGGGGATGCAGGACAGAGGGACCTGGGAGATTTGGGCTGGATGGAAGGGTCTGTGGGGTTTGGGGGGAGTGGTCTGTGGGATTTGGGATGAAGGGACCTGCAGGATGTGGGGTTCGGCAGGAGAAATCTGTGGGATCTGTGGGATTTGGGATGGAGACATCAATGGCATTTCTCAGGAGGCTCTGTGGGGTCTGTGGGATTTCTCTGTGGGATCTGTGGGATTTCTCTGGAGGCTCTGGGCAGCCGCCCCTGCCCGGCTGGAGCAGGGAGGCGCCTGCAGCGTTTGTTCACTCCCAAAGGCAGACCCGAGGTTTGCAAAGGTTGAACCGAGGATGAGACCCAGGGATTGGGATCATTCCCGGGGATTGGGATCATTCCTGGGGATTGGGATCATTCCCGGGGATTGGAATCGTTCCCGGGGATTGGGATCATTCCTGGGGATTGGGATTGTTCCCAGAGATTGGGGTTGTTCCCAGGGATTGGGATCGTTCCTGTCACAATAAACAGGATCCGAACACACAAAGTGGTCTGGGATGTACCAAAAGGAAAACCCAACACCAGAACACCTCCAGACCCAAACCCAAATCCAAGCCCAAACCTGAACCCAAACCCAACCCCAATCCCAAACCCAACCCCAAATCTGGACCCAAACCCAAGCCCAAACCTGAACCCAAACTGAAACCAGAACCCAAGCCCAAACCCAATCCCAAACCCAAACCAGAGCCCAACCCCAAACCCGAACCCAATCCCAAACCCAATCCCAAATCAAATCCCAATCCCAAACCTGATCCCAATCCCGATCCCAAGCCCACCCCAAGCAGCCCCGGACCCTCCTGGCTGAAGGTGCCAAAATCCCATTTTTATTTTTGCCTTTTATTAAAAACTCTCCGTGAGGGGAGGCTGGGGAAGGACGAGACACCAGAATAAAAAAACCCCAAAACAACCAACCCAAAAACAAGTCTGGGGAACGAGGGAAGCGGGGAGCAGCTCCATCCCAAACATTTGGGGATTTTCCCTGGAGCTGCCAGGAGAAAATATTCCGGGGGATTTGTGCTGCCACCGCCGAGCTGGAGGAAAATGCCCCAAAAAAACCGAATTTACTGTGCAGGAGGGCAGAGTCTGTGCCAGGCTTTGCCCGAAACCTCGGCCAGAACCCGCAGGGAAAGGAAAGAAATCCCCCAAAATTCCGGGATGAGATCCAGGAATACCTGGAGCTGCTGGGGAGTGAAAGTCCCGAATAAAAACCCCAAAAAAAGCACTAAAATTGGAAATAAAACCCAACAGCAGAGCCTGGCGAGGCCGAGGGGTGGGTTTGGGGTTTGGGTTTGGGGTTTGGGTTTGGGGTTGGGGGTTGGGTTTGGGGTCTGGGGTTGGGGTTTGGGGTTTGGGTTTGGGGTTTGGGTTTGGGGTTTGGGGTTTGGG